CAAGGAAGGCAGGCAGCACGGGTAGATCCAGTTCAAACCTCGTCGAAGGAGCAACCCGCTGTTGCGCAGGGGACGGTTGATGACAAGACAAATGACAGCGATGTCGGTCCAGACCGAAAAAGGATGACACCGATAACCGAAAACAGCGATGGTGAAAAATCGGGGTTGGGTGGATGTGGATTGTCGGAACGTTTCGGATCGTCAGTATGGGCAGTGGACAGATGTCACGTCGAGGAGGTCCTCCTAGGAAGATGCTAGAAGATGAGTTGGGAGCAGAGAGACGACCAGCATCAGGTGAAAGGCCTCAAAGCGGGCGGGCGGGCGGTGATGGCGACGAAAGGCGGACAATAGTTGAAGGGTGTCTGACCGGCATCCGGCGTGTAGTGAGCAAGTGGGAGAGAGGGAAAGAGTGGAGGCAGGGGGCGGCACTGTGGCAGGAGCACAGGAGAGTCATACCTTCTGACAAAGAAGGGGGCATCCTCGTGGAAGGAAAGAGCACAGGCACGAGCACGAGCGCGAGCATCCGACTCAAAGCAGCAGCCCGCATTTTGCTCACAGACGACCAACACGGCGGATGGGAGGGCACAGGTCAAAGCTCCAGCCGTTGTTAGTGCTCACTGGCGCTGGGGTTGCCCATTCTCTAACAGCCACCAAACCGATGGCGCCGGGCCTCTGATGTGATATCCGAGCGAGGTTTGGGCCAGCGATGACGCTAAGAGGTCGTCGGGTCGGCACACAGGCGGCAGTAGCAGTAGGCCGCTTCAAGCTTCCTTTGCTTGCTTTGCTTCCTTTGCTGCCCACGCACGCCTGTCTGCAGTGAGCAAAGGAAAAGCGACAGACACGTGAGGGGCCTGGGGAACATGATTGCCGGTAGAATAGGGCGAAGGTATGTTTGCCGGTACGTAGGCCTCCCCAAAGGTGACTGACAGGTGGCCGCTTGCCGATGACTGGCGATGACCTGGTAGGCATGATGCGATGCAACGTAAAGCACAGGATGGGGAGCTGGCGGGATCCAGGAGCTTTGCTTCCCGTTTGGGCTGATGTGTGGGGGGAGGGGCAGGCGGAAGACTGAATTGTCGAGCAGTAGCAGCCAGCCGATGCCGCCCACTTGCCATTCCGGCCCCAGCCATGATAGGCAGGCAGCACCAGGATACCAGGTGAAGGAGACCCGGCAGCAGCGATGCGATGGCATCGAAAACCCCGTCGCGACACAGGTGGCTAGACCAGGCCAGGCTACCTTACCTATCTGTGGTTCAGTCTTCATTCCGCGGACGATCGAGACGAAATGCGAAGATCAAAGGACATCGAGCATCCGCTGCCTCTCCAGTGTTTGTTTGGACAAACCGCACCAATTGGCCATGTGCACCCAGCCTGTCTGTGCTTCCCGACCATGTTTGCCTTGACGTCATCCATCATCAGCTCTCTGCATCGTGCCCCTCCATCACTGTCTCAATACACAAGTCGATGATGAAATTCCACCCAACTGAGAGAGCAATATCCACGCAAAACTCGTCATAGCTCGGGTACTTTCATGTGCTGGTACAACTGGGGGCGCCTCGTCGTATATAGAGGACATATTCTCCCTTCAAACAAGTACCTTTGGCTTTCCTACACATAACAGAGCCTTCGCGTTGTCACACCAAAGATCCCCATCACCATGTCCAACCAGCAATTCTCCAACGCCGACACGGGCAACCGCCCTGCCGACCCTTACAAGGATGCCAACAAGGATGAGGTGCCTCTTCAAACCAAGATTGAGGACTTGACCCAGTTCATCAATGCCACCAAGTTCGCCATGATGACCACACGTGATGCCTCGTCTGGCAACCTCGTTTCGCGCGCCATGGCACTGGCCGCCTCGGTACGTCGAGGCCTCTCAAACCATCTAGTAGTAACCCTACTGACCAGACACAGGAGGTGGGCGGTATTGATCTACTCTTCCACACCAACACCGAGTCCAACAAGACGGACGAGATCAAGAGCGACCCTCACGTCAACATCTCATTCATCAACAGCTCAGGCGACTGGGCCTCCGTCTCGGGTGTTTCCGAGGTGGTAACCGACCGTAGTCTTGTCAAGAAGCACTACAGCTCCGAACTCAAGGCGTGGCTGGGCGACCTTGGCGATGGCAAGCACGACGGCTCGGAGAATGACCCCCGCATCGGCATCATCCGTGTCAAGACGAACACCATCACGTACGCCGTTTCTCACAAGACATTCGTCGGCAAGCTGGCGCAGGTAGCCGAGGGGATCGTCACCGGCAGCGCAGTCTCAGGTAAACAAGCTCAGGGAAATTTCGTCGCACGACATTGGAAAAGTGGAGGGCCTCCGCAGTCCCTGGCGCAGTAATGGGACAGAAGCAGCGCGGGGACGCTGTATGCCCTGTACAATAGATAGCGGCACCCTCCCCATCATCATCAGATGGCCATGAGACCATGAACTCACGATGAATTAATTTTATCTCTTTCAACATTCCTACAGCTGCTTCCCGTACTCCTCGTTCCATATCCTGCTCCACGCCTCCTTGTCCACTGCGAACGCCTTGACGTAGTCGTGCTCGAGCTCGTGCGTCCTCCTGCCCAGCAACACCATGCTGTGCAGCGGCGCGCCTAGCAGCTCATCCGTGTCGCAGAGCTCCTTCAGTGTGCCCGCCACAAACTTCTCTGTCCGGCCACCGACGCGCGCGGCGCCAAATGGCGGGGGCTGTCGGGCCCGTAGGCGCCCCTCCCCCCTTCTCCTCCTCAATCTCGGAGCATCTGGCGCGCGCACTGGCCCAAACGGTCATGTAGGCGCGGGCGGGCTCTCGTAGAACGAGGGCGGGCCGGCGGAATCAATATTTCCTCGAACGCCTCTGCTTCCTTGACCCTTGATGGTCGAGCCAGCCACGGAGGCGTGTTGCAGGGCCGATTCTGGCGGTTTCTTCCTTTGACGCGGTCGTAAAAAGGGACGCGGGCCGCCAGCTGTCGGTGAAAGAAAGACCATGGAAGAACGGGTCTGGCCAAAGTTTGTAAGAGCTGCAGGCCGGCGGCGCCGATGCTCGACATGATGGACGCGTTGGGCACCGTGGCCACGGGGATCTCGAGCTCGCGTGCGCGCAGCACTATGTCGGTGTGGGTCGTCGCACCAAAGGGGTCGCCGACGACGAGGAAGGCGACGTCTTCGGTCTGGGCGTCGCGGAGGATCTCGTCGCTGTTCGACTCGACCATGTCGCGGTCGGCGACGACGATGGGGCGCCCATAGTAGGCTTCCTGTTCATCTGTTCAGCGGTGCTTGGAGGCGCGGGTGGCTGCATCGGGATGGGGGGGCAACGCACGAGGATGGTTTGGTCGACGAGGAGGATGCTGGTGTAAGCCTCGAGGTAGACGCGCGAGGCTTTCTTTACGACTTCGAGACCCTTGACGGTGATGTCGGTCTCATCGGAGAGTCCAAGGCCCACGAGATAGAGCATGATGGGCTGAGGGGATGCTGTACGGGTTGGTTCGAGATCGAGGTTTGATTCTCAAAGTCAACCAGCTGGGTCCGGCGCAAAAGTTTTGGCGGGGTAAAAGTGAAGAAGTCATGGAGGGGTGAAATGTCTGGTGGAGGTTGCCCCACCATCAACCCCTGTCTGTCTAGGTACCTAGGTAGGTAAGTAGGTAATTAAGGTACCTTACCTACCAGGCAAGCCGGGTAGCTGTCTACCTGGCCCGACCCTGTCGATTTCCGTCTCGATCTCAGCACATGGGGGACGAACAATCATTCAACGTCAAATCATTCACGGAGTATTTGCGATATCCTGATTCAGCATCCCCAGCTTGCCTTTCACACTTTCCCAAGATACCGGCAAGAAGACAATTTATTACCTCCACAACCAAAAGATCAGAGCAAGGTGTACTTCTCCGTCTTGAAGGTGCCATCATTGACATCGTCTACCGTCTTCTGATGCGCCTTCGATTCCTCTGGAGTGAAATGCAAGAAACACCCGCTGATCAACTCGAACTTGTCGCCGACCGCCCTGTTGATGAGCACTGACTCGGCTGTGCAACCCTTGAACGAAATCAAAAGGTCCCCCGGCCGAGCATCGCACACCCTCTCTGCATACCCGATGACTGCCCCCCTCGTGACGAAGAGGCGCGCATCGGCAAGGAACCTCACAAGCTTCAGCGTATACTTGTTCCAAAACTTGCGGTCCTCCTCGGGCACATGTCCAGCCATGATCTTGTCATGCAAGTCTGCGAGGTCATCCTTGGTGAAATCCGTCTTGGCACCGCCCGTGAAGCACCAAAAGAATGACTCGATGAATTCGCGTCGACGCTCTTCGGGCGTTTGACCAGGGCGCATCAGACTTACGCAGAGATTCTCAGCCTTCGAAAAGACGCCCTTGAGCACCTCGTAGATCTCGTCGTCGCCGATGGAATCTTTAGGGTTCTTCGGCATGTCCGTGTGTTCCTGACAGAGGACGATGACATCTATAAGGTGGCCTTTGACTGTCAGAAGGTTAAGATCATCGGAGAAGGCGAGATCGTCAGAGTTGGGATCGAGGCGCGCTTTAGCAGGGGGCCGGGGAAGAAAGTCGAGGGAGCGGTTCATCCACTGTCCGGCCCAAATGTGTGTCCAGTTGACTGTCCAGGACGGGAGGCCTTCGTCCCTGCTCCAGTGATCGCACATGCGGAGAAAGTTGAGGTTCAGGGATTGCAAGATGGAGTCTTTGGCGATTTCCTTGTACAGTCGCACGACATGTTTGCGGTAGTCGACATCGACGGGCATGCTGTCCTTGCCGCAAATGCCCATGAGCGAGTACACCATATCGCGGGGATCAGTGGCTTCTCGGCCCCTGGTCGTCTGCAAGAGTTCGAGCAAATCGTTGGAAAAGTCGCCGGCTACCGACTTTTCACGGCAAAACTCCATGGCACGGATGCCAAAGAGGTCCCAGATCCGACGGGTCCCGCCGAACAAGAGGTTCGCTCGCGGGTCTTGTCCAAAACACCGCATCCCCTCGGCCGCCTCAGAGAGCGAGTTCCAGTCAATCTCGTGGGTGGCACACTTGACGGTGATCTCTCGAGAAAGAGAGATCTCCTGGATGACCCACTGGCGACGAAAGTAGGACCGGTCACTGAGCTTCGTCAACGAGAAGAGTGCGTACTCGGAGTGCCGCTTGATGATGTCCGGGTACTTGGCCGACCCCTCCTTGCCGATCTCCAGAGCAAGGGCAAAGGCACCAGCGACATCGAGAGCCTGTGTGCCGATGCCGTCCTCCTCCTCGTTCTCCATGCCGATCCAAGCGACAACCCGTGTGCCCTGTTTGTAGATGTTCCCCATCAACCTGACCTGTGCATTCTTCTCAATGACATTCCGCTGGTCGATACAGATGGAATCGATCCAGACAGTTCTCGCCCTATCAGTGTATCTCAGATGCTTCAGCGCAGTTTCGACATTAGACGTCACGAGGAACCGGTCGTCATTCACCACCAGCGGCTGGGTGAAGCTTGCACCCTTCCACGTGTATGAAAGAGTCTCAAACTCGCCGGACCTGTCGATAAAGTACCGCTCCAAAGTGCATTGCAACTCGTCGGCGAAGGCACCAGGGAGAATGGTCAGCAAGCGAATGGCATGGAGACCCTGTATCCTGGGGAGTGCTTCGAGTGTTTCGACATAATTCGTAGTCTTGAACCCGTCAAGAACGGGAATGCCGCTGAATTTGGGAAGGGGGACTAGTGGCGTCGCCATATAGTCGCTTGTTCTGGGCTAGTTGAAGTGGGAGATTCGCGTATCAAGACTCCGTTGCTGGTCGTTGCGATGTGTGCCCAACGGCAGTGATAATGCTGACGGTGAAAGCTTGGCTGCTCCCGCTGGCATGTGCAAAGTGGTTGTGACACGACTTTAAGTAGACCATCCTCGCCATGTTCAACAAGCATCCTTGCGGCACAGCGCTTCAGGCGGCCAATGATGTGCAAAGTGCTTCAGGGCGGCGGCATGGCGTGGTGGTTGTTCCAATTGTGATCTCTCAGTTCAGCAGACCCCCTCGGACGAAAGATGGGGCGGGGGTTGCAGACAGCTGGCGAGCAGGGGGGGTAGGACACCGAGCTTCCATTGGGACATGGTTCGTTGTGGCGCAATCCTTCGATGTCCTCCTGCAATGACTATTGTCCAGAGAATTTATCATCTTTGAGAAGATCACAGCGAGAGGCTGCGATCATTGGCTTGTCTAACAAATGTATTTCTTGCGCGCGCTGCACGGGTGCCTCGTCTTGCGCACCCCGCGATATATGTAGGAAGGAAAAGTATGAGCTTATCGGATTCATCGGCCCAGTGGGGGCAGTGGTAAGTACCTGGCACCCAAATCAGGTGTCGCATCCCTGTCAACATTCTCCTTCTGATGAAGCAAGCTTCCACTTGCAACAAAGGTAGGTAGTCGGAGCTCGACTTTCACATTACCACCATTCACACCGTCAAGCAAATACCAAGACAGGATCCGCCACCCACCCTGCGAGCCCGCCAAAACCCTGATCAAACACGCGCGAACTGAGTCATCTCCCGTCTCGAAAAACACCATCACCATGGCCGACAAGAAGGGCAGCGCCTATGGCGCGCCGGCCGGCGACACGGACTTTCGCAAAACCTGGGACCTCGATGAATACGCCGCCAAGGCCAAGGCGCGCGAGGCGGAGGAACGCGAGGAGGCGAAAGCGCGCTACGAGGCCAAGCTCGCCGGCAAAAAGTACTACAAGCCGCTGACGGGCAACGAGACGATGACGACGGCGCGGCAGTCGGGGCTCGACCTCTCGTCGCAGGTGGGCAAGACGCAGCTCGTGGCGGCAGGCGCAGGCGTCGGCAAGAGGGGGAGGAGCGCGGGTTTCTACTGCGAGGCGTGCGACCTGACGTTTAAAGACAACAAACAGTTTGTCGAGCACATGAACACGCCGCAGCACCTGGCGGCAACGGGGCAGAAGATGGAGGTCGAGAGGGCGTCGCCCGAGGAAGTCAAGGCGAGGATCCAATACTGGTGGGATCAGAAGGAGGAGCTTGTCAAGCAGCAGGCGACAGGTCTGCACGAGCGGTTGGAGCTGCGGCGGGCAGAGGACGATAGGGAGGCCGAAGAGAAGAGGCGCAAGAGGAAGGAAGCCGACGAAAGGCGGCGGAAGGAGAGGGAAGAAGCGGAGAAGGTGAAAACGGAGTATGGGGATGATGTGAGGATTGAGGGCGAGCATGAGGAGGACGACATGATGGCTGCCATGGGCTTTGCCGGGTTTGGGACGTCGAAGAAGTGAGTCGCGTGTTGCCCATGGCGAGGCTAAATGATACCCTAGAAATGAACAACGAGGTCAATTTGTACCTATTCGTTGCAACTCTCTCAAGGTGGCAGAGCTGCCCGGTGCAAGGGCACAAACATTGCGACAACACCGAACTGGACAGTCGACTCGAACCTGGTCATACTCACCGAGTCGGTCAAACAGTCGGTGAAGATCGGACCCCGCCATCGGCAACGACCAAGAACGCTGTGGGTCGGTCTGCTGCTTGACCAGACCAGACCAGTTCCAACCCCCACCATGACCAGCTGATCGACATAGGCCTTGACCGCGACACGACAAACGATTATTGCAAACGCCGGGACCTGTTCACTCATATACTCGCAGCGTCGTTCGCCAGCCACATCCTCTCGGCCAATTCGTCTGCGGCTCTTGAGTCCGTCTCTGCATCAACTAGTTTCTCTACCCCGCGTCCAGCCTCTCCCTCCTCTCCTTGTCCGCTCTCAGGAGCGCCTTCAATCACCCATCATGGCCTCTCCCTCAGGATCCTCCCTCCTCCTCGCCCGTTACTACAAAGATATGACCAAAGGCCAGGCCGCAAAGGACCTTCCTGGCGTCTCCGTCGGTCTCGTCAATAGCAACGTCTTCGAGTGGGAGGTCATGCTCATGATCAATGACGATTGCAAGTACTATGGTGGTCAGTACAAAGCCCAGAACCCCAACGCATGGCGATACGCAAAGCTGATGAATACTGCCAGGCGGCTTCTTCCGCGCCCGTCTCACCTTCCCGCCAAACTTCCCCGACATGCCGCCCTCCATGACGTTCCAGAACCCGATCCCCTTCCACCCCAACATCTACCCCGACGGCAAGCTGTGCATCTCGATCCTGCACCCGCCAGGCGAGGATGAGTTCGCGTACGAGGAGGCATCAGAGAGGTGGAGCTCCGTCCGCAGCCCCGAGAGCATCCTCGTCAGCGTCCTGAGTCTGTTCCATAGCCCGAATACCGAGTCGCCCGCCAATGTCGAGGCCGGGAGGTTGCTGCGAGAGGATACCAAGGAGTTCAGGAAAAAGGTGCGCGTGTGCGTGAGGCAGAGTCAGGAGGAGAGTTTTTAAAGGTGCACATGGCTCCATTCGCGTACGGCGACCTTTTGAAGATACCCAGGTGTTAGCGAGTGCTGTGGATTGGGGGAGCACAGATTTTGGCGGCAATGCCATTCAGTCACGGAACCAGACACTCTCGACCCAATTCGTAGATTCATGATTTGTTCTTCCCAAAATTGTCTGACTGCTTCAGAAACCTATTCCGATCTTGTCTACTCATGATAACTCCAGTGGCAATCTCGCACCCAAAACAAATCTATCCGAAACGATCCTACGCCGGCAACCTGCTACAACCCCATTCCTATCTAGCCTAAATCACTTGTTTCGTGTCCTCCGAGTCAACTAGAGATATGAGAGGGCTCACGTGCTTAACTTGGTCAATGGTTGGCGGGCTAACATGCTTGACTTGGTCAATAGTTGGCGACCATTCGGAATCTGCATCACCTGCGCTCCGATCCTTTAACGAACTCGCCCTGACAAAATTGTACGTGGTAAGCTCAATTGGAGGGTAGCAGGTGTGCGGCAATTTAGAGTCGACTTCGCGCAGCCGTTTTTGGAGGAGTTTGAGCTCATCTGGCATATCGCTAGGGTCGTCGTCGGAGTCGATAACATTGTCAGCCAGCTCTTCGACGAGAGCATCCTTCTTGGTAAGCTCAGTCAGAGAGGTGCGGTGCAGCTCCGCTTCCTCCATCTTTTGCTGCCGGATGTTCTCGTGCGCCATCTTGAGCTCCTTCCGGGCGCCGGCCAGCGCCGCCCGCGTCGAGGCCAACTCGGCTTCGAACTGACAGACCATGCGCCCGGCCTCTTCGTGGTGGGCGCGCAAGTCATCCTTGGCAGTCTCCAGGTCCCAGGAGATCTTCTTCTTCTCGACGCACTTGTCGTCGTAGTCCTTGCGGCACTTGGCAGCTAGAGTCTCGGCCTTGGCGCACCGCGCCTTGACCTCATCGGTTTCTGCAACAGCAGCGAGACGTGCGACCTCGGCAATGTTGGTCTGGAGGCGGGCGTCCTCAGTGCGCCCCGCGCTCGAGCTGGAGAGCCGCCATGAC